ATTGTCTTAACATATAAGAAAGTTACTTTCGATAATTTTAAAATGAAAGTCTATCCCATTTAGTGACACAAATTAAATCGAATTCATTTTAAAATTCGGGGATTGATAAAAAAATCATGTTCTTTTAATTAAATTCTTCGAGAAAAAAATGTTACATCGAATCTATGATCTCGTCTCGAGATATTTAAATAATTGAACATCCTTATTCTCATTAAATATTGGTAAAATAAATATTTAATTATACTTGTTTGATAAATGATTTTAGTTTGCTTTATTTTTGCATGTTCTTTTTCTGATGGATTTTCAAAATAATAACATTCGAATCAATATTGAGAATAGTAATATCATTTCATTTTAGTTGGAGTAATAAATGACTGCTTTAAAGCATGAGAGATCATTTATTCTCGATCAGAAATAATTCGATATTACCATTTTTTTCTCGAATTAATATTGACTTTTAAGATGGAATAGTGATATCTCTTCATTTCGATTAAAGTAATAAATGATTGTTTCAAGATAAAAAAAAATATTTATTATCGATTGGAAATATTTAGATATCGTCGTTTTCTCTCTTAAAATTATTTTGGGTGTTGTTATTTTGAATTAATAATGAACTTTAGAATGAAATTTCAATATTTCTTTATTTCGATTGGAGTAAGAATCGATTGCTTTAAAGTATGAGAGATCGATTCTTCTCGATAGGAAATAATTAAATATTATCATATTTCTCCCAAAAATTCAAAGAATATTATTTTTATGGGATCTTAAATTAAATTAGACTCAAACTCGTAAATTTAATTACAAAGACAATTAATTAATCGACTAGGTATCGATTTAGGGCGTTGTGGTGCTAATCCTTCCCCACACGTAACCGACTCCCGAACTCAAATTTTGGTAACGCATACCGCAAGTTTGTTTTTTAATTAAAATTAATATTTTATTAAAATTAATATTTTATTAAAATAGCAAATACGTTTTTTGGTGTCAATTACACCCTAATCAAATATTAGTGGCGACTCCTCAAACCACATTTTATCATTATCCGGTTATCAAAAATTATTTTGAAACGATACCATTCCTTTTCCCCTTCGGAAAAAAACCGTTTCGGCACAAACCTTATTGAGCAAGTAAGGTTCCTGCTGAAATTACAGCATATCTTAACGTAGTTTATTCATACTACACGTATTAACCCTCTTTAACTCTTTCTTTCTCCTTCATTCGATGACGTGGCAGTCCAGGTTACGCTCTGCCTTATGCAAGCATGTGTACCCAATCTTATGTTTTTTTATACATATAGGATAAATATAATGTTTTATCTGTTCAAAGATTCTCAATCAATTAAATCTAAACGTTTATACCTATGTTATTGCTTGAACCTGTTATCTCTAAGAAAAATAACAAATCCTTTAACTACTGAGATCAATTGATTCGTATATATTCTTATGTTAAATGATACATCATGAGTTATGTTCTAAATCACTGTTTTCCTTTTATTATATGTATTGTAAAAAGTATGTGTCAATTTTCCTAGTCTAAGTTATAAAATTTTGTATATTTTAGCCCTTTTTTCACAAATGAAATTCTTGACTTTCTTACTTAAAGTGGAGCAAAATTTAAATTGATTTGGAAAAAAATCGGTTCTTTCGATTCGATTTGAATTGAATTTGAATTATAATTTCATAAATTCGATTCGACCCAAAAAATTTCAAGTTTAAAACGAATTCTAAAATACAACTTGAATAACTCCAAACTTTTAGTAATTAATGGGTTTGTTTTTAATTTTGAGAGTCTCTCAACTTTGTATGATGTATGTGTATTACATAAGAAAAAAAGTGAAGAAATATATATATTGTATGTGGTTATAACAAAACCATTTAAATTATAATCAAATAGTATCATAGATATTTATAATTAAATTTAAATATAAACTCGAAAACTAGATTCAACTCGAATTGAAAAAAATTCAAATCTAGTTCAAACTATAAAATATGACTCATCAACTTGAATAACTCAAAATTTTATAACTCGAATCGACTCGATTCGATCGAGCGCTCACCTCTATTCATATTAACGTTTTCAATAACAATATAATATAACCGATCCATACAATATAATCTCGATGGGACGATGCTTCATAATATTTTATAGCATAAAAATATAAGATTTAAATATGTATTTAATATTTAAACTAGATATATATTTTTTAAATTGATATATAAATATTTTTTATTTCTAAATTGGTATCTAAAATTTATTTTTTTATTGTTTTAGTATTTTTGTTAATAATATTAAGTTTTGATAACATGTCAACATAAAATTATATCACATGGAAATAATATTATTATTGTATATATATTTCTAAATACTTTTAAATTGCGTAAAAACATTAAAAATAATAATAATAAACTATAGTTTCGTTATAAAACCAAGTTGATAAATCTCAAATATCATAAATTAATGTCTAAAATGCTTAAAATTTCGTTTTTTATGAATTCAAAATTTTTTAAATATGGATATGAATTTTAAGTTGAAGTTCTATTATATAAGATTATTATAATAAAGTAAAGTCATTAATAATATTGTGTAAATTGAAAAAGTTATTTTAATAGTAGATACACACATTTATATGAGTTTTTTTTATAAAAAAAGTACTCAAATTAAGTATAAAAATAATAAAAATGGTAAAAAAAATACCATGATTTTTTTATAACCACCAGTTTCTAATCTATTGATATACTAATTCAAATTGCGTATTGTAGAGACGAGGGCGACCCTCCTAACTCAATTTGCTCATTTGCAAACGCTAGGATTCAAGCTTTTAACCTTGCTTAAGGGATCTAGTGCCTCATTTCACTATATCAACTGGTTGTTAGTAAAAAAAAAATACTATTATTTTACACTTAGAAAAAAAGTAAATGAAATTCTAATTGGTAAGTTTAATAGATTAATTTTCAAATATATTTTCATTTTATATTTTTTATAGATTTTTAAAAAAAATAATAATATTATCATTGACACATGATAAATCTTATGTTTCCATGTCATAAAATAAATTTTACTAATAAAATAATAGATAAAATAAATTTTGAATACTAATTTAGAAATACTTTTTAAATATTAATTTTTAAAATTATTTAATTCAAATACTAAATATATATTTAAATTTAATTAGAAAAGATAATTTAAGGTTTGAATTTATTTTATGAATTAATTGAATAAGATGTAAAATTAAACTCAAGATGTATTTAAATTGATCCATCCCTCAATTTTAAAAAATCTATAATTACCAAATTTGAAAAACTTAATAAATATATAAATATAGGTTGATTCAAGCGGTAAGGTGCTTGATATTTGCTTGAGTAAGGTCTCCAGTTTGAGTCCTTATGTCTGTAGAAAATCTCTGTTGAGAGATTCACGCACTAAAATTTATTTTATGAATTAATTGAACAAGATGTAAAATTAAACTCAAGATGTATTTAAATTGATCCATCCCTCATTTTTAAAAAATCTATAATTACCAAATTTGAAAAACTTAACAAATATATAAATATGGGATGATTAAAATGGTAAGGTGCTTGATATTTGCTTGAGTAAGGTCTCCAATACGAGTCCTTATGTCTGCAAAAAATCTCTGTTGAGACACACTAAAATTAAGTGTGCGATACTGGTTGGTCTGAATTAATCAAGACAAAACCTTAGAATTGGAAGGGCAACGTAAAAAAAAACTTAATAAATATGTTTAGAATTTTTTGAAACCAAGTTTGACAAGATATGATATATCATTAATCAAACCTAAGATAATTTAAGGTTTGAATTTATTTTAAAGAAAGATTATATGAATTGATTGAATAAAATATAAAATCAAATTTAAAATGTATTTAAATTGATCCATTCTCTTATTTTAATTTTTTTATAATTAACCAAATTTGAGAAACTTAATAAATATGTTTAGATTTTTTTTATAGAAGGTGATAATTTTATTAAAAATATAAAATATTCAAATTACAATAAATGTTTACGACCACAACAGTAAACTAAACATATAATAAATATATTCTTCTAAACACAAAAAAAATAGTCACTTAAGATCACATAAGGACTATACAAGGAAAATGTTAAAGAACCAAACCAAATAAACTCGAACAAAATATAGATACGAACAGATATGACCGCATCAGCAAACAAACTACAAAAGGAGATGAAGCTATTAAAAGACCACCGACAAACTATAAATCAAAATCGAACGATGTGAAAATACTATCCACGAACGCAAATTGCGTATCCAAATTCAATCCGATGGTCTAAAGCATGGAAGATCAACATGATGACAAATAAACGTCATCTTGATCAATCGTGACAATATCAAATCCAACTCTGAAAAAATAGATAAATAAAAACAACGGTCAAATGACTAAAAACATGTTAAAAAAACATTCCATAAAAGCAAATTACTTAAAAAAGAAAAAAAAACAAAAATATATTATTATAAAGTAAAATAAAACAATGAATATCGACTATCGGTAATCAACATTTAATCTGGTATCACCATCATTCACAAAAATAAAAAAATAAAAGATTAACTACAACTAACGAAAAAAGAAAGAAAAAAATATGTCTAGATTTTTAAAAACCAAGTTTGACAAGAAGTGATGTATCATTAATCAAACATAAATTACTAATAAAAGGAATTTTGTATTGTCCTAGACAAAAAGGTTTGCTATCAATAATTTCTCCTAGGAATTTTCCCTAAAATATACTTAACAACCCCAAATGAAAAAGGAACAAAAATAAAATAAAATATTGAATGATCCCGAATTCCAAAACCAAAGTGAGCCTGCTTTCTTCACTGTTCAGCAATCTCTGTGTCCTTAGAATATAAAGAGCCACCGCCCTCATCCACCATTACCAGGGACGCCACTCAAATCCATTCTTTTCAATCCAGGACAAAGAGCGAGGTGGTTTTGTTCTTTTTCGCCAATTGAAACCCCTCTTTTAAAGCAATGGAGCAGGAGGGTAATGACCAGTCTCCTTTGTCTCACCTTCCCCAGGAAACCACCACCACCACCACCGTTGCTGAATCCGAAAGCGGTATTATCAGCACCACGGGGAGCAGCAGCAGTAGGAAATGCAAAGGAAAAGGTGGCCCCGATAATAATAAGTTCAGATATAGAGGCGTGAGGCAAAGGAGTTGGGGTAAATGGGTTGCTGAGATCCGGGAACCTCGAAAACGTACGAGGAAATGGCTTGGAACTTTCGCCACGGCTGAAGAGGCTGCTCGAGCCTATGATCGGGCTGCTATTGTTCTTTATGGTTCCAAGGCTCAGCTTAATCTTCAACCCTCCCTCTCTTCTTCATCCTCGTCTGCTTCTTCATCTTCATCTTCTTCTACTCAAACTTTAAGGCCATTGCTTCCTCGTCCTTCGGGTTTTCCTTTTAGTTTTGCTTCTTCTTCGTCTTCAACCTCAGCAAATCATCCAGCTTGGTCAATGAATGCTGGGGTTTCTTCATCATCATCAAGGTTTATGCCATATGGGGCTTGCCCAAACTTTTTAAACCCAGCCTTAGTTTACCCAAACATGGCTACAAATCCCCAACAAGCCTTGCAAATAATGCAACAATCTGAACGTCAACCTAGTGTTGCTGGTGAACCCACTGGAACAGCGGCCTCGTATATGAACCCTAACCTTCAACAACTACAGCAGCAGCAGCAGCAGCAAGGTTCTAATTCGTACGAGGATATCAATTCCCTGGTGGGTTCGGTGAGTCCGAGCTTGTCTTTGTCAGGTCAGGCTTCAGTTGTACCAGCAGTTCCGGATCCAAGTTTACCAGTTGTACCTGAATCTCCATCGATTTGGCCTTTCACAAACGATGATGAATATCCCCCAGCTAGTTTTTGGGATTACGGGGATCCTAATTTCTTCTTTAATTTTTGAGGGTTTAGTTTACATATTCAAAATTTTCTTACAATGCCTTGCGGTTTTTGCATGTAAGTTTTTTCAAGGTCTATAAAAGGAGAATTCCATTGGAGCTTTCCATGAAATCAATAAAGCTCGAACCTTGAAAATCACCATGAATAGATTTCAAGCAGACCTTAAAAAGACATGAAGAAGAAGAGATTTGAAGGTTTTAGGGCAAGGGCAAGATGGATGATTTTATTTTCTTTATATAAATAGCTGCATGTTTTGTCCCAGTGGCCTGGGTGAAGCTTTCGAGAGATTTTCAAGGTATGGCTATTTTGATCAAAGGCATTACCCAGTTTTTTCAATTATCTTCTTTCTAGAGTTTACTGGAAAAGGAAAGTTCAAATGTTTTCATTTTAGGGTTTAAGGCTACTTGGCTTGTGCTAGGAATTATTTATGAATAGAAGCAAATTTTGACGCTTTTCAATATGAATATAAGAGTGTATAATTTATATACACACACAAAATGGATCAGTTTATGTTCTCCATTAATACTTTGCTTAATAGTTAAAAGAGCAGAAATTCATGAAGTGGAAGCATGGTAATTGGTAATGTATATGACCATGAATTCAATCATATTTGTTTATATCTTTAAAATGTGAACTGCATCTTTACAACATCTGAAAGGTAATATTAATTCCTGGTTTTGCTCCTAATGGGTATTAAACCCAAAATTTAAAGAAGATGAGATGTGTAAACTGAGAATTTTTAACTGCATGCTCTACAGATTATTGACCAAGGATGTGTAATACTCCAATTTGGTTGAGCTGACCAAGGATGTGAATCTCTCTCTCCCTCTACATATTTCAGAAATAATTGTAGCTATCCATAATGATCACCATCTTTGAAACCAATGCCTCTTCATGAATGCTTTTACTGTTTTTTCTTCTATAGATAGATTAGAGATCGACTTAAAATTACTTCATAATATTTAATTGAAATTATGTTATAATTTTATTGGCCAGATAGATGTTATTTGAATGTTAAAATTATTTACTGTATTAGATACTCATTAAGAGATGATGAATTTTGGTAAATAATTTTTTTGTTGTTGATGAAATAATGTCTTATAATTAGAGTTTAGTTCCTAAAATTAAGAGGTTGAGAGAAGATGTAATCTCTATGTAACTTTTTGTGTGGAAAGGGTTGTGTATGAAACTTTTTTGTAGATCTCATATGAAACTGGGTTGGGAGGGTTGTTATTGCCTCTGCAATATCTGATTTAGATTAGTTAATCAATGGATAGGATACAAATGATTAAGTAAAGAAAAGAGTTCTAATCACCTAGTTTCAGTTTTCAAACTTTTTTAATATTAACAGTAGAATGGGGGAAATTATAAAAAATGAGTAATTAAAGGGATAAAAAAATAAAAAATAAATAAATATATTTCTTCTTTTATTAGTATGTTTAATAAGGAAGATGAAATTTTGAAGAGAAAGTAAATATTTTTTGTATCTATTGCTTTGTAAAAGTAACAAATATATTAAAATATATATACGGGTTAGGATCTACTTATCCAATGTAAATTTCTTTAGTTTTATACAGATTTAAGACTATTGAATGAGTGAAAATAGATGATTGATATTGATTCTTTATTTTTTTTTCCAGTGAATATCTTTTCATTTCTTATTCTCTCATCTAACGATCTTAAAGTTGTGTTAAACTAAAAAAATTTTATATTGTGTAACAGGATCTAACCTCTATATATACATATTTTTTTATTACTGTAAGGTGAATATAAATTAATATCTATCTTAAAGACTATATAGAGAGAACTTAAACTAAGGACTTTAAGTTATTGAAGTTGCTTGGTTCATATATATATATATATATATATATATAATCATAAATAATCTTGTGCATAATATCATTATTCCGTAAATCATCTATATAATCATAAATAATAACTCCAACACTGTATGTATCAACAACAATCTCCTAAAATTTATTCTCCATACATGTAATAGTACATAATATACAGTGAAAAGCTCCACAATTAATATCAAATACTTTCTAATACCTTTTGAAAAGTAAAAAATTTACTCTCAATATTTCGTAGGTATTTGTAAAATAAAAATAAAAACCTAACATAAAAAAAAAGACATTGCAAAAACAAAAAACTTACTACATTATTTTATATCGATTATATCTTCTATATATAGGGATAGGGACATAAAATTAATTTGTAGTATTGAAATTTAAAATTTTAATAATTGTTTTAAATGGTATTAATTATATTTTTAATATTTTATATAAATTTTTTGTTTAATGAAATCGGAGGCAAAATCAACGAGATAATGCGTTGAATTTTTTTTTCACGAGATAGTGCCCTCACCAGATTAATTGCTCAGATGGGGTGATCTCTACAGTCCCCATATAGGTCGCCAGGTGCTCTGGGCGACGTCCCTGTTAGATGGGGTAGGTCGCCATGCACGCCCAGCGACCTACCAGGTCGCCATGCACGCCCAACGACCTACCAGGTCGCCATGCAATCCATGCAGCCCCCAAAGGTCGCCATGCAGTCCATGCTAAGAGTCTTCTCAAGTTGCTGCCTCATCACTCCTTTGGCAAATGCCTGAACAATATTGGTGGTTTAGACATGGCCCTTTCCTTCTACCCTGAGTGTGAAAATAATCCCAAAAACCCAAAGTGGTGGACCATTTACATTGCGCCATGTCTCATTACAAATTGAGTGTTGGACTCTGGTGCAGTACCTATCTATTTTACAGCAAAAAGAGTGTTGGACTGCATGGCGACCTTTGGGGACTGCATGGACTGCATGGCGACCTACCCCATCTCACAGGGACATCGCCCGGAGCACCTGGCGACCTATATGGGGACTGTAGATATCACCCCATATGAGCAATTAATCTGGCGAGGATACTATCTCGTGAAAAAAAAAATTCAGCGCATTATCTCGTTGATTTGGCCGAAATCGGATGTCAACTGACATCGCTTTCTTTAACATGATTTTGCCATTATTTATAGAATAAACTATATAAATGGTCACTGATGTTCGGTATGTTTTCGTTTTCCTCATAGAAGTAATATATTGGTCACTATTATTATCAATTTATAACAAATTGATCACTAACGTTAATGATTTATAACAAATTGATCATTCGACCGTTAACAGTCTTTACTGGAGTAACAGAATGTTGATATGACATGTTAGTCTGACTTTTTTGACATCATTTAACCACGTGAAATCATTTTGACTCTATAGTTTCTCATCTTTCTCGAAACCCAATCTTCTCAAATTCTTAAACTCTCCTCATTTATTCATCATCTCCACTAATGAGAAGTTTAACTGCACAATTCTTAAACTTTCAAATGTATACAATGAGAAGCAAAAAAGAAAAGTGGAACAGTGGTGGACTTTTTAAAGTATACCATAAACCATGTCTTTCTGATGCAAGCAAGTTCCCTTTCCATGTGGGCTTCGAGATTTTCTCTCTTTATGGCCGGTTAAAGTTGTTCAAATCCATAGCTTTCTTCATAACATTCTCTTCATTCTTAAATAAATGGCCTTGTAAGCCGTCGTATGGAGGGTGTTTGGGTTGGTTGAAGCTAAAGTGTCGGCGTTGTATGGCTGGTGAGGTGGTGGAGATGGGTGCAAAGTTATGTCTTTCGGTGATGATAAAAGTAATGATACTCGTCCACATGCATTTAAAAGGGAGAGAGTTGAGAAGTGGTTTGGTTCTAACTATCAAACTTGTCCAAGCTTCTAGTCAGTGACACCAAATTATGCCCTCAAGAACCTTATAACACAATGTTGTGAGAAGAACAACTTTCATCTCCCCGAGAAAGAGGATCAAGCATCTTTCAAGAGATTGTTTGTTGATCACTTAGAGGAAATAGCATGTCTGGTTAAAGAACTATCTTCCAGTCAATTAGAAGTACAGAGAGGCCGTGAAGAATATCTGTTTGCTTTCCAAGTAGAATTTGGAGGTCGGAGTTTTGATCTCCAAAAGTTGAGCAATCCCACGATTAGTGCATATGTTGTCCTATCCATATTCTAAAATCCAAGAGCATGCCGTTACAACTCTATTGAATATATCCATCGATGAGTCTAACAAAAGGCTCATAATCGATGAACGCGAAATACCTGCAATAATAGGAGTCTTAGAAAGTGGAAGAATGGAGATGAGAGAGAACTCGACAATAGCTTTGTTTATCTTGTGGATGCTCAACTAGAACGAAGTGACTATAGCTCTCGAAAATGGCATCAGCAAAAATGAAGAAAGAGGAGATGAAAAAAATAGGGAAGTTTATGAATTCGAGAAGGATGAGTTTGGACTTCGGAGAAAAAAGAAAAATGGTGAGTTGAAGAATAAGACGAGGAGAAGGTGAGGGTTGGTCAAAATGGTCTCAAGTGACTAATTTGTTATTTATTGATAAAGTTAATGACCAATTTGTTATAAATTGATAATATTAATGACTATTGTTATTTTTGAAACTTTAGTGAAAAAAATAAAAATTTATTCAAATATTAGTGACTATTTACGTAATTTATCCTTATTTATATTAATGTTCCTAGCACGATTCCCAATGGAAAGCTAATAAAGAGATTATTCATTTTCCTCTTTTGAAATTTGAACTTGAGTTTAGTTTAAATTCGAACTTAAATTTAATACATAAAAGTTTATATATATATATATAATTAAAAAAATAATATATATATATATATATATATATATATGTTAATATTATTAACAATTTAATATATTATTTTTAAAATTATTCACAAATCATTATAATGAGATATAAAATAATTCGCTTCGAGTAATTTAAACCTTAAATTTAAGCAGCTTACGACTCTCGTTTCCAGCCCTACTTACTTCAATTCAACTTTATCGATCAGTCATCCAGCAAAAGAGAGCGTGATAAATGTGCCAATGGTTAACTAAACCCAAACTACCAATGCCGAAGGGTTTCAAGCTTATTATTAGACCAACATCAAAACCCTCAG